GGTGTAGTTGGTGCTCTGACTACCACATATATTGTGTGTGTCAGCCTCCACCTGCTGCTTCACTCAACATGTCCAGCAGTGTAGAGGAAGCTGTGGAGTTCCTCGTCAGGAGTAAGTCACAGTCGTGGCTGCCAGGCGTCGTATTAGTCACAAAATGTGTTCTTTTATGGCATAGGTCCCCTCAAGGGTGATGCTGGTGAGGGGCTCTTGATCAAGGGAATTGGATCTGTGCTACAGTTCCCTGAATTAAGCCTGAATACCTTCTACATCCCCCCCACAGGCGTTGCATAATCCTACGGGTTTAGTGCTCCCTTTTGATTATAATTATGGCATAGGGTTGGTTGCAATACTGATCTCGAGTGATTTGTGCTGGTAGTGGCTCTTGATCCAAGGAATTAGAGCTCCCGTCTCCATGGATTGCACTGGATTACCCTCAGTTGCCCTGGTGCTATTTGAACCCTTGCGGGTTTAATGCTTTTATGTGAATCGTGTCGTTGAAGGATCTTTTTTTCATGTAATTAAATTTCTAAAAGGAATTTAATTGATGCCGATGAAGGGGCTCTTGATCCAAGTTATTGAACCTGTACTCCCTTTCCTAGGATCAAACCCCGTACCTTGATTGATAGCACACTGCTCACACACTGAGGTTCGAGGTTTGATCCCCGGTACAGGTGAAAACATTAAGACGTGTTTCCCTAAGACACCTGCTGTCTATGTTCACCTAGCAGTAAAATAGGTACCTGGGTGTCTGTGGACTGGTGTGGGTCGCATCCTGGGGACAAAAATGACCTAATTTGCCTGAAGTGCTGTGCATAACGAGCGACTCTGTGTAGTAGTATGTCATTGATGTCGACTATAGTCTGTATACCTCGTACATGTAGAAATGAAGATTATTATCATCATCATCAATGGCTGTTTCCCAGGCACTGTGACCCATATGGGTTTAGAGCTTCCCCTGGATAACGCTACTACTTCTACTACACAAATAATTTTTATTTGTATTTGTAATGTACATAGTCATAGATACACCATTGTTTATTTCATTATATGAATCATTATATGAATTCATCACTAGGATTTTGCTCCATGGAACTTCCCATGTTATGTAACTTTTAGATGTATAATATTTATTCTTTACATTATACATCACCCTTGACTCATGAAATCGTAATGACGTGATTGCAAATGAACCATACCATGGGTGGGGATTGAAATCATGGCGAGTTTTACGACTCCTTCGCCATGAGTTCAGTCCCCACCTGTGCTATGTATTATACATCACCCCTATTTATTAAATCCAGTGGCTAACGCGACGGTCTGGAGTTTTGACTCTCTCTGACTGCGGGTTCAAATCCCGCCCATGGTATGGTTTGTTTGCAATTATGTCATTACAATTTCATGAGTCAAATCCAGGGTTTATTGTGAAAGTGATTTTTCGGTATGTATTGTAATTAGTGCAGGTATAATATCAATCACTTAGCAACTGCTACATTTTCACTGATTGTAAGTTGTTATAAGGCGCTATACATGATTAAGGTATGCTGTAGATCAATCACTAGCGCACTTAGCTCATACGCTGTGATCCGGGGGTCAGTCCCCAGTACGGATGGAAAACATTAGGATGTGTTTAATTAAGACACCTGCTGTCCATGTTCACCCATCAGTAAAACGGGAACCTGGGTGTTAGTAGACGAGTGTGGATCACATCCTGGGACAAAATTGACCTAATTTGCCCAAAATGCTCTGCGTAACAAGGGGCTTTCTATATAACAGTATGTCATTGATGTCAGCTAGGCCTGTATACCTTGTACATGTACATGTACTTATAGAAATAAAGATTATTATTATTATTATTACTATTATTATTATTATTATTTTTATTATTTTTATTATTATTTTTATTTTTATTTTACAATCATGTCCAGTAAAGAGAAGTACATTTTTTGTCCTTAATATTCTAGTGCTTTTATTATTAATAATGCTTATATTTTGCAAATTACTTTTTTTTTAAGTAATGGCAGCAATTACTATTCACTATAGATTATTTTCAGATGCAAACCACCGACCTCGGGACATTGATAAGGTGGAGATGAAGCGCTTTGTACAAGTGCTTCAAACAGCCTCAGTCAACGGCCTAAATTCTAGACAGATTATGACTTTGTCAACCAATGTTGTTTTCACAAATGCCTATGGTATGAAAATATTCTTTCTCTAATTATGTTAGGTGAATTTGTTGATAGGAAATGTACTCCATGATTATTTGTTGTAAATAACTATATAGTGACAAATGCTCATATTTGAATTTATATATGTTATATATACTAATTTTAAGTTGGTGACATTTTTGTATCCAGTACCATGTTTCTTGAATTAGTTTCATAAAAGAAAATACAGCACTCCCATTATCAAAAAATTTTGATTGTATTGTCAGATTATGTGAAATTAAAAAAAAAAAATTGTATATTATCAAAACTAAGCACTAAACACACAAGGGTCATACAGCAGACGGTATATTATCACTTAACATTATAGTCAGTTGCCATAATGTTAAGGTTCATTGATAGAATTAGAGCACAGTACTAGTCTATGAGCATAACAGGAAACTCCAGCATTAATATTGTAAACATCATGTATGAAATGATAATACACCCAGTAAAAAATTTAAATAATTTGTGTTAATCACAGCTTTGGTAATCTTGAAACTTAGTTATTATTAAAGTAAGCTATATTTTTATTGTATTTTCCATGAGCAGATCTTCTCATGTTAGATACCTTGATGCTGGTTAGGGGCTCTTGATCCCACTAACTGGACCTGTCCTCCCTTTCCTTGGATCAGACCTGATTGCCACCTATTCCCAAGTACTATATGGCTTGTATGAGTTTAGTGCTTTGCTCATAAAAATAACCTTACAAATAATTTTTTCTTTTCCTACAGATGTACTAACTCGTCGAAAATTACTTTACTCCTTGATACCAGAAGGTCATGACTTTCCCTACCGTCTGATTCCGCTGGCTATCTCTTCAGCAACTGTTATTGTAAGTTAACAAGGCTAATTATAGGGCTTCATACTTATTTTATAGGGATTATAAGGCCTTTGGAAACATTTGCGTAGTTTAGTATAAATGTAAGCTGTCAACCTTCAAATTTTGATACTTTTCTTGTCAATTTATTTTATAATTCTACATTCTCAAAGAAGTGTGAAGCACTCTCATTGCCTGAATTACTATAAGGGCTTAATGTGCTTTTCACCTCTTTATGTAGATGTTTTCCTGATCACAGTCACCAGCGTCCTTAGTACAAACTGAAACCTTATATTAAGATTAATTCAAAAGTTACAGTTTCACTTGTAAATAAAAGCAAGGTGGGTAAGCAAGCAGAATGCCTGTTACAGTCAACATTGAAGGTTTACCCTTGATTTTTTGAGTTATCTGAAAAATAATGGAATTCAGATTTCTAGAGTTAGACTGTATACATCTGTAGTGTAGTAATTAGTACAAGTTTTTGGGAAGGCATCTCCTTCTGCATGTAGTTACCTTGATGCCAGTAAGAGGGTTCTTGATCCAAGGTATTGAGCCCATCTCTTTTCCTTGAATCGAATCTGATTTCCTTCCATTTCCCCAGATACTGTATGACTTAAGAGTTTAGTGCTTGCCCATAAATGGAATACTAAATAATAATGTGAGGGCAGCCATTCTAGCTTTAATGCTTTTTTCATTGGATAGAAGTGACAAAAATATGTAGGCATGTTAGATAAGAGTGAATGGAGGCAGATGGGTTTTATGAGTTGACATGCTGTTGAGTGTAAGCAAAGAAACATTTATGAGAGGATTCAAGGAAACTGTTAGCCAGACTGGGGTCCTGGAGGTAGGAAGTACAGTGTCTGCACTCTGAAAGGAAGGGTGGGGATGTTGCAGTTTGGAGTGTCATCTGAAATGTAATATTGGTGTGCTTCTGGCAAGACAGTGATCAAGCGAGTGACAGTGAAAGTGTTTTCTTCTCTGTCATGTCACTCTACCTCAGTGGGAGATGGCCGGAGTGTTAAAAAGCCTATGGTGTGGAAACTTCTGAACCTGTACTTATAATGTCCCTACATTGGCAACAGATCTTTTTATAATTTTTTCTTAAAACTGGTTAATTGGTAGATTAAATCAATCAATCATTATACTGTAAGTGTGTGTCTTGTACTTGTATAAGTATGGGTACATAGGTAACCAGTGTGATGTATATTACTTCAACAGCCAGTGAGTCCTGCATGGCAACATGCTATACTGTCCTGGCTGGGGGCACTACTGGAGTATGGCATCCTCAGTCCTCACCACAAATATGTACACATCTGTTATCCTGCAGTTTTTGCCTTGCTCTCCCACCTGAACCTGGTATGTAATGCCTCTACATTTTTTCAAGGTTTATAAATATTTTTGAATTGAAATGTATTTACTTACTGTGTGAGCTGGTAGTTTTTAAATTTATTATACAGTAGGCCCCCCACCTTTCACAAAAGTTACGTTCCTGAAAACGGAGCTATATGCGAAAGCAATGAGTGCCATGAAAAACCTATTGGTAAAATTGGGCTTCATTCCATGACACCCCAGAAAAAAAACAATTTTAATTCATAATTCACTTAAAATAATTATTGCATGATGATTTTGAAAGTGTTTACACGTTATGGACTCATTACAAAGAGTTTACAGTACAATGTGAATATTTTATGTAACTTGTGGTGTTACCTGTTTATCTAAAGGCTTTTCCTCATCCTCTTCTGTTGTCTGACTCCCTTCTATCTGGGAATTTAGCTCTGCTATCATTCTTTTCTAGTCTCTTATAGTCATCTTCTAAGACTTCATTCACATCTCATTGCATATCATCAGATCCCTCACCTGGCAGTCTTCTTGCCCGGTCATCCATTTACTAGACCTAACTACTGAGAGTAAACTTATTGCATCTGCAATGTTGAATTTACATCAGAACTCCGGCCTTCCTAACTCTGAGTCAGCATTCATTGCTGTGATTACTTTCTGTATTACTTTGCTTGTGTAGATACACTTAAATGTTTTAATTACTCCTTAGTCCAGTGATTGTATCATTGATGTATTTCATACTATAAAAAACTTTACATTTTACTTCACATCCTGCAGGAGTTCAGGATGAGCAAGAGAATTGTCAAGGATCAGGAGAATCTGAAATGCAAGGCTCTTGTGCAGATACAACTGAACTTTGATAATAAATTAATGCTGGAACAAGTATACAGTATAAACAAGACTTAAGTCATCAGTACTGGCTGGTTAGACCATCAAATGGAGCAACAAAAAGATCAGAAATAGAATGATAATACAGGAGTGAGTAATGGTATGTGTCTGAGGCAACTGGCAGTGTTGGGGGTAGTGTGGCTGGGAGGTAAACACTATTGAGTGATGTTAGGTATACCAAAAAAAAAAAAAATCCTAAAACGAGCATGAGGGGACAATATCCTGCCTGCTTCACTGTGATACCTGGCCACTTCACAGTGAAAGGTGGAAAAATGATAGTAAAAAAGTGAATTGTGAATCGGCAGAAATACAGTGGCTGGAGGTGCGATAGGAGGGGGCCTACTATGTACAATGCTGAACCCTCATATGATAGGCCAGAAATGTTTTAAGATTATAAAATTAATGTATTTCAGTGTGGTTTGGCTTGCAAGGTGCTCTACTACATAACACTGCGTGAAGATGTCAGTCAGAGTCGGGCACAACACTTGATGAGAATGAAAAAAACAAAGCCTGGATTTTTTATAAATATCTCCCAACTACTGAGGTGAGCTCTTGTATATTTACTGATAGCGTAGGCATGAGTGTCCACTGCAACTTTTCTTGGGAATAGCAAGGATTTCTAAGAGGATAAGCAAGGGATAGGCAAGGTTGATAATTAAGATGCATACAACAGTTAGGTATATTTATTCTGAAACATTTCGCCTACACAGTAGGGTTCTTCAGTCGTATACAGAAGAGTTAGCAGAAGCAGTAGAGATGTGATTATGTTGTAATCAGTCAATCACCCTTGAAGACATAGTTTTGAGCTGGTCAGTCCCTCAGCCTGGAAAAGAGTTTTTCTCCATAGTCTGGAACACTGTGAAGTTGAAACAACAGTGTGGACATTTATATACTGTCAAAGGTGAGGCACATCCCACTAATAGAAGAAAGAATGTAAACATTGAAAGGGCAGGTCCCTCTCAAATCCATCCATTCTCACTTGAAAAAAGTTGGTGTTTTCTGTTCCAAGATGCAGTTGTGTTAGTGTATGACAGACACTGCAACACATTGTTGCACATTGTATTATATGATAAATGTTGTCAGGATCACATTAAGGTAAGGAGATGCATTTTAACATTAGCTTTGAAGTGGTTGGCTGATAGGAAATATCTGGAATCTTTAGGTAAGGAGTTCCAGATTTTAGATCCTTTAACCCTTTGAGGGTTTTGGTCGTACTAGTACGTCTTACGCGTAGGGGTTTTTGACGTACTAGTACTCATAAATTCTAGCGGCCTCAAATCTAGTGGGAGAAAGCTGGTAGGCCTTCATATGAAAGAATGGGTCTATGTGGTCAGTGTGCACAGTCTAAAAAAAATCCTGCAGCACACAGTGCATAATGAGAAAAAAAAAACTTGACCATTTTTTTTTAATAAATCAGCGACTTTGCAGTGTTTTTCGTATGGTATTTATTGTTGTATTCTAGTTTTCTTGTCTCATTTTATAGAATGGAAGACATATTACAGAAATTGAGATGATTTTGACTGGTTTTACAATGAAAGGTGCCTTCAAATTGAGCTCAAAGTAGCAGAAATGTTTCGATTTTTACCAAACTTCAAAAGTAAACAAATCGTGCCAAGCGTGCAATACACGTCAACTGGTGAGTCTAATATTCTTTCACAAGTGCACAATAATATTTATACCATTTTTTGCACTAATGCAGTAGTCTGCATAACAGTAAATCTTCTATTTTTTGTGAGAATAAAAAATTCAAAGTGAGAAAGCAAAGAATATAAGAGGGGCCTTGAGACGTGACTAATGACTAGAGGAAATGTCATTTTAGTGCCAGGAATGTCTTTCTTGATTATTCTGGACCCTATTCGGAAATTGGCATCTTTTGAAATTTGTGTGAAATTGGCAAAATTGCTAAATTCTGACCACTGTACTGGATAGTTGAATTTATAAATGGGTGGTTTCTTGCACCCATTCGATAGAAAAAATGGAAAGTTCTAGCGGAATATTCATGTTTTTTGTCGACTAGTACAGTGAAATTGGCCGAAAATGGGGCTCAAAGTGGGCAAAATCGCCGATGCGTAAACATCGCCGAGACCGCTAACTTTGCGAGAGCATAATTCCGTAAGTTTTCTATCAAATTTCAAACTTTTGGTGTCTTTATGATCGGGAAAAGATTCTCTATCTTTTCATAAGAGAAAATAATTTTTTTTTTTTTTTAAATTTGGCCGACCCTGAGAACGAGTTTCGGAGAGGGCCTGTCGACCCTCAAAGGGTTAATGTGCATTGAGTTTTTGCACAGGTTGAGTCGGACACAGGGAATATCAGAGATTTTTGCATCAATGGTACTGTATTTAATTATAATAAATCTATCTTCTTTCAACACACCAGCCGTATCCCACCGAGGCGGGGTGGCCCAAAAGGAAAAACAAAAGTTTCTCTTTTTACATTTAGTAATATATACAGGAGAAGGGGTTACTATCCCCTTGCTCCCGGCATTTTAGTCGCCTCTTACAACACGCATGGCTTACGGAGGAAGAATTCTGTTCCACTTCCCCATGGAGGTAAGAGGAAATATACAAGAAGAAGAACTAGAAAGAAAATAGAAGAAAACCCAAAGAGGTGCGTATATATATGCTTGTACATGTATGTGTATTGTGACCTAAGTGTAAGTAGAAGTAGCAAGATGTACCTGAAATCTTGCATGTGTATGAGGCAAAAAGACACCAGCAATCCTACCATCGTGTAAAACAATTACTGGCTTCCATTTTACACTCACTTGGCAGGACGGTAGTACCTCCCTGGGCGGTTGCTGTCTACCAACCTACTACCTAGGATTATAATAAATAACATGATTAAATAACATAACATGTGTATGAGAGAGGGAGATTACTTCCCAGTAAAAGTAGATCTTAGACAGGGATCTGTAATGTCACCATGGTTGTTTAACATATTTATAGATGGAGTTGTGAAATAAATAAGTGCTAAGGTGTTGGGGAGAGGGGTGGTATTAAATTATTGGGAATCAAATACAAAATGGGAGTTGAAACAGTTACTGTTTGCTGATGATACTGTGCTTTTGGGAGATTCCAAAGAAAAGTTGCAAAGGTTAGTGGATGAGTTTGGGAGGGTGTGCAAAGGTTGAAAGTGAACATAGGTAAAGAAAAATTGAATATCACATTGGAGGGAGGGAATATGGAAGAAGTGAATGTTTTCAGATATTTGGGAGTTGACTTATCAGTGGATGGGTTTATGAAGGATGAGGTTAACCATAGAACTGATGTAGATGTAGTAAGGTCTCTGGTCTTGTCCCAACCCGGGCCTTTTATAGGATTGATGAAGGAAAAAAAGGTGAGTGGTGCATTAAGGTATCCGTGGAGACAAAAAAAACGTTGTCCATGGAGGCAAGATGGGAATGTATGAGAGTATAGTGGTACAAACACTCTTATGTGGGTTTGTAGCATGGGTTGTAAATGCTGCAGCGAGGAGGTGGCTGGAGGCATTAATGTCCTGTCTAATGACACTGTGTGGTGTAAATATTATGCAGAGAATTTGTAGTGTATAAATTAGGAGGTGTGGAGTTAGTAAAAATATTAGCCAGAGGGCTAATGAGGGGCTGTTGAGATGGTTTGGTCATGTAGAGAGAATTGAACAAAATAGAATGACTTGGAGAGAGTATAAATCTGTAGGGGAAGGAAGGCGGGGTAGGGGTCAGCCCCGAAAAGGTTGGAGGGATTGGGTAAAGGAGGTTTTGTGGGCAAGGGGCTTGGACTTCCAGCAAGGGTGTTAGATAGTGAATGGAGACAAATGGTTTTTTGGGACCTGATGAGCTGTTGGAGTGTGAGCAGGGTGATATTTTGTGAGGGGATTCAGGAAAACCAGTTAGCCAGATTTGAGTCCTGGAAATGGGAAGTACAATGCCTGCACTTTAAAGGAGGGGTTTGGGATATTGGCAGTTTGGAGGGACGTCTGAACTTTCGTATCTGGATGCCTCTGCAGAGACACTGATTGTGTATGAGTAATGGTCATACACAAATAACCCGCACATAAAAGAGAGAATCTTACAACGACGTTTCGGTCCGACTTAGACCATTTACAAAGTCACACTGTGTGACTTTGTAAATGGTCCAAGTCGGACCGAAACGTCGTCGTAAGCTTCTCTCTTTTATGTGCGGGTTATTTGTGTATCGTTCCAGTCATGGTATTGTGCCTTTTTTTGTTATTAGTAATGGTGAGTGTTGAATGATGAAAGTTTTTTTCTTTCTTTTTGGGTCACCCTGCCTTGGTGGGAAATGGCTGACTTGTTAAAAAAAAAAAAACATGATTACACAAAAATTTATCATGTTTTCCAAATTATCTTCACTTGGCAGAATTTACCACCTCTTCCGTCCTGATCTAGTGGTTGGTGAGCTGTCTCACAGGAGGGTTGTACCAAGCACTCCACATCCCATGAAAGTTGCTCTCTTAGCAGCTAGACTGCGGCTGCAAGAAAATTCAGAAAGTGATATTTTGCAAGAGAGTAACAATGTTTGGCCTGACAGAAATCAAGTGGAAAAGGTAAGTATGATGTAATTGCTTATTTTTAATTACTTTTTTTTTTTAGTTTGGTAGGATGACCTTTTAATTTTTATTCCTGGCTCTTAAATTGAATTCATCTGACTCTGCTCATGTGTTTAAGTTTTGTTTAACCCTTGTTTGGAGTCCTCTTTTGCTCTTGTTGCTCAGTTTATCCCACTTTTTTACTCTTCTTTATGCTTCCTGTTACCCCTGTGGGTCATTTATGTGTATTTAACAAAGATGATTGCTTGATTATTTATCATTACGTGTGCATAGTCCAGTGGCTGTTCTACAGCTCTACACTCATCGAAAAAGTTACCCAGGTGTTGCATGTGTATTATTATTTATCAGTTTGGCCATTTACTTTGCATTGACTTTAAATTTTAGTGCATAAATAATATTTATCTATGACACAGGCAGCTTGTTTATGAAGGCTATAGTCCAGTGGCTGAGTTGTTATTACTGGATAAATTTTGGTTGGGACATGTTGGGTATCTTTATATGTATATGCTTCTAATCTGTTGTATTCTGAGCACCTCTGCAAAAACTGATTATGTGTGAGTGAGGTGAATGTGTTGAATGATGATGAAAGTATTTTCTTTCTTTTTGGGTCACCTTGCTTCAGTGGGAGACGGCCGACTTGTTAAAAAAAAAATGTATAGAAACTTTGGGGTTTGTGGTAGTAAAGCATTTAAGAGTTCAGTTTGAAATAAATATGTAAATGGCTTCATAGGCTAAAAAATACTTCTCTCATGGAAAAGAAGTGCCTGAGAAACCAGAGATATCACTTGAGCATCCAGCATTGTGCAAGAATGTTAGATCAGAGTGAGTCGAGGCAGGATTTTGGGGGAATATTTTAAGTGGTGTTAGATTGTGAGCAAGGTAATTTGTACAAATGGGTTCAGGAAAACCAGTTCATCACACTAGTTCTGGAGGTGGAAGGTAGAGTGCCTGGACTTTGAAGGGTAAGTGGATATATTGCAGCTCAGTATCATGGACTTTTTTGTCCATAAATATTTGAAAACCATATAGAATAGAACATTCTTGTTAGGTCACCTCGCCGTAATAGAAGAGGCTGTGTTGATACATAAATGGTAGAGGTGACCGGTTTGTGCATGGATACTTCAATTTCTTATAGGAAAGAAGAGACAGTTTTGTTCTCCATGGGATGTTAATATAAGAACATGCCTACCATATTGATTCTCATAATTTAGTGCACAGTGAACGTTTGGCTTGACTGCTGAAAAGCAAACTAATAATGGCAATGAATATTGGAAAGTTGTCTGCTCTAGACAAGTAATGTCAGTTCATAATGATTATTTTCTTGTTTAGGTAAATCCCTATCAGCGAAAGACAGCCATCCCTCAACCGGATACGAACTTTTATACTTCTAAAGTAGAAGAGAAGAAAGAGAAAGTTATATTTGTTACACAGTATCGAAGGTTAGTACAAAGTAAAGCAGATAACAATAAGAATTTAATTTTTAGCCTATATTGAAAGACAGATGAATTTCTCTTAAGGTGCTAGAACCCTTTGTCTAGTACGATCTGTTATTTGTTATAAATGCATTTTCTCATTTATGTTCTATAAAAATCAATTTTAATACATTCTTAAAGCTCTTTGCATTATTATTAAAAGTGCTAAACCTACAAGGGTCATACAGTGCAACAGGGCAGGGAAGGGTGTGGGGGTATTGGGTAGCAAGAGGGAGAGGTATTATTATTAGGTCATGGAGTGCAGCAGGGCAAGGATAGTGCAGGGGTAGGGGCTAGCAAGAGATTGAGGTAGAAATGGCTGTGGGGAGTGATAGAGGCATCACCATCAGAGTTTGTGCAATAAATCAGTTACTGTCAAAAAGTCAACAAGTCTGGGTTGAAGAAGGGTGTATCAGCAAGAAGGGAAGAAATTTCTTTGCAGTTGTAGGGAAAGATTTAGTTTTTTCCTCCACAACTGTGACTGATCATAATTATGATTTCTCTTTGTCAGTAGGCCTGAGTAAAAGGTTCTGCACAACCGGTTGACGAACAGAAGCTGCCACTGAAAATGAAATTGAAGGACTAATTTTTTCCATTTTTGGCTATTACTTTGGGTTTTGAACTAAGGGGAGAGAAAATGTTTTGTGTGTTTTGGTTGTACACTGCATTGCTGATATTACATAGTGTTAATTTCCTTTCAGGTTTACAGAGCTTGTACGTGGCATGGAAGACTATTACTTTTGGCAGTGGCCCAACAACCCAGCAACTCATTTATCCAAACCCATCATTATTCCTTTATTCCGACCACATCAGCAACATATTTTTGTAGGCCTCACAAACTGGCTTGAGTTTGCACTACGAAGCGGTGAGAATTGACTACTATATATACGTACATCTTGACATAAAATGTATTGGTACACTGTGTCTCCCTGAAACATTTTTATTTATTTTAAAGTGATAAGTGTATGAACTTCTTTATTACTGTATCATTATTCACTTCATTTCACTTTTTTACCACTCATAATTTGAAGAAATCATGAAAATGTACTTCTCTACCCTTCATGGTTCCAGTTGCAAGCCTAGATGCTTTCATTTATTTTATAGCTCACTCTCCATGGTTCAGGCTCCAGTCTGGATGCTCTCCTTTTATGTACGAGTTTAAGCATTTATAGGGGGACAGGAAATTTTTTTTCCCCTAGTGATTTATTTTACTTTGTGATTATTAATTGTGCAGTTACTTATTTTTCTTCAACCTTTTGCACTGTAAGAATGTTTTTTCTTTCTATATTGTTCCGATGGTACAAAAGGTTGCTTCTAATGTACATATAAATATATTAATCATTCATTTATTCATATATTTAATTGAAAGCTAACAGTTTTCTCTGACTGCATTAATTCTTTTTAACAGAGGTGATAGGAGGAGTTGGTAACCCAAGCTCAGAGCGGTGTGAAAAGTTGCTAAATGCAGCGTATAATTTGGTTTGCTGCATGGGGGGCAGATCTGTTCCTGTTATTGACAACTTTATAACAGAGTTAATTATGAAATGGGATGAAAAAACACACTTTGATAAGGTAATCATTGTCTTAAGTTTTTTCTTACACCATTATAAATATTTTATTTATAATGCCACACAAGTAGTCTTTGTCAGGTACAGTGAAATCCCAGATATCGGCCAAATCGGATTTGGCTACTTTTTGGGCCGAAATTCTGTCCTGGATTTCGGCCGGCCACTCGGAAATTGGCTGTATTGGACGCATCCGCCCGCCACTCCGCCACATTTGTGAGTCAGTCTGGCTGTCTCTCTGGGTGAGTGAGCAACACTACGTGCATTCATCCAAACATTTCATTATAATCCATTGTTTTTTGTGGTTGTTTATTGAGTGCGACTGTGAAATAAGCCACCGTGGCCCAAAGAAAGTTCCTAGTGTCAGCCCTTTGGTAAATAAAGAAAGTGAGAAACACGATAGAATTCAGTGACAAAGCCTTGTCCCACTTCAGGCAAATCTTACAGATGCCAGAAACAGACCTCTCTGGACAATGTTTTTATGTGACAGGTGTGCAGTGACTCTCAAGCTGGTCCTAGTGCCAGTAAAAAGCAAAGAAGGGAAGTAATCCAGAGAGGGCATTGATACCTAAAGTCCTTATGGAGGGGGATTCCTTTTCCAAACAATAACCCCACCTCCCTCTCCCCTCCTCACCTTCTTCAATATGCCAACAAGAGTCTTCAATAATGGTTTGTAATGTTCATTTATCATTAAAAGTTGTGCTTTATATTCATCTCTCATTGTTTCCTGTATGTAAAACTATAGTTAATCTTTAAAAAAATGTATTTTTTGTTAATATTTTTGGGTGTCTGGAACGAATTAACTGTATTTGCATTAATTTTTATGGGAAATATTACTTCAGTTTTCAGCCTTTTCGGATTTAGGCCAACCTTTTGGAACGGATTATGGCCGAAATCCAGGGTTCCACTGTATTTCATTTATGGTTTTATGTTTACATGTGGTAACTGATAAAGCTTAGAATAATTAGCCCCTTGCTCTTGGCATTTTAATCGCCTCTTCCTTCGTAAGCCATGTATTTGTTGTAAGAATTCATTTCCACTTCTCCGTGGAGATGAAAGGAAATAAAGAAGAAGAACTATTAAGAAAATAGAAGAAACCCCAGATGGGTGTGTATGGGTATATGCATGTGTAATGTGACCTAAGTGTAAGTAGAAGTATGAAGATATACCTGTTATCCCATGTGTTTATGAGACAGAAAAAATGACACCAGCAATCCTACCATCATGTAAAACAATTGCAGGTTTCCTTTTCACATTCGCTTGGCAAGACGGTAATACCTCCCTGGGTGGATGCTGTCTACCAACCTACTACCTAGGTCTTATTGTACTTCTTTCTTTCTTTCAACACACCGGCCGTATCCCACCGAGGCAGGGTGGCCCAAAAAGAAAAACAGAAGTTTCTCATTTTAAATTTAGTAATATATACAGGAGAAGGGGTTACTAGCCCATTGCTCCCGGCATTTTAGTTGCCTCCTACAACACGCATAGCTTACGGAGGAAGAATTCTGCTCCACTTCCCCATGGAGATAAGAGGAAATAAACAAGAATAAGAACTAGAAAGAAAATAGAAGAAAACCCAGAGGGGTGTGTATATATGTGCTTGTACATGTATGTGTAGTGTGACCTAAGTGTAAGTAGAAGTAGCAAGACATACCTGAAATCTTGCATGTTCATGAGACAGAAAAAAGGACACCAGCAATCCTACCATCATGTAAAACAATTACAGGCTTTCGTTTTACACTCGCGTGGCAGGATGGTAGTACCTCCCTGGGTGGCTGCTGTCTACCAACCTACTACCTAGGTCTTATTGTACTTACCTATATAATTTTTTTTTTAACACCAGCTGTCTCCCACTGAGGTAATGGCCCAAAGAAAAAGAAGAAACACTTTCACCATCATTCATTCTATCACTATCTTGCCAGAGGCAGGTTGATCCTATAGTTCAGATGTCCCTCCCAAATGCAAATATCCTCACCCCTCCTCCAATGTGCATGCACTGTACTTCCCACCTCCAGAATTCAAATCTGACTGGTTTGTGTGTGTGTGTATGTGTATGTGGGGGAGGGGTGACAAGTTGAGGAAAAAGGGGTTCTAGGGATGAGGTAAGAATAACTGGCGTTGCAAAACCTTGATGATGTGATGGCAGTGACTCTGGAGTGCTAAATAAATGTTTTGATTAGCAACCACTCTTGTAGTTACTATGCTGTATTTAAACAGTTACCCCTGCCTCCTACCTTGGTAGATACTTAAATATTCTACAACACATTCAAATAAATATTTGGAAGGGATCTCATATTTATCAAACTTGGTGATTAACACTGACAAGAAATTTACTGAGGATACTTTTCACCATCAGGGCACATATTACATTGTATGATAATTACATGTACACCTGATTTCGGATTTTTTTATGCTATATGTATGTATACTACTCTCTCTTCCCACTATCAGAATTTTGGCTGTAACAAAGCATTTCTGGACTTAGCATATTTGAAATAGCAGGAATTTTTCCTTATACTAAGGTGTAACTGCAAAGGCATATATTGACAATTTTCTCCTGTAATAAGTACATGTTATTGGTTATATATGGAAACCATGTGTGATTCTATTATTTAGTCTGGCAAAGTGAAGAAAAAATAAAAGATTGCAAGTATATGAATGTGTAAGTTATAAATGCGTAAAAGTTTTTATGAGGATATGTAGGCTCAGTTAGGGTGTGTAAAAAGAGAGGGAGACACTTCCCCTAAAAGAGGTCTTAGAACAGGTTGAATGTTCACCAGGTTTTTTAATATATTTAAGATGGTGTTGTTAAGGAAGTAAATGCCCAGGGTGTTTGGGAGAGGTGGTGGATTAAATTAATGGGAATCAAATTCAAAATGGGAATTGACACAGTTACTTTTGCTGATGATACTGTGCTTTTGGAGATTCTAAGAAAAATTTGCAAAGGTTAGTGGATAGTTTGGAATGTGTGTAAAGGTAAAAAAAAAAAGTTGAAATGAACATAGAAAAGAGTAGGTGATGAGGGTGTCAAATGATTTAGATTTAAAAAAAATTTGGTATCAAATTGGGAGGAGGAGTAAAGGAAGAAGTGAATGTTTTCAGATACTTGGGAGTGAAATTCGCGGATGGATTTATGAAGATGAGGTTAATCATAGAAATTTATGAGGGAAAAAAGTGAGTGGTGGGGTTGAGTATACCTCAACGCACCACTCACCTTTTTTCCCCATCAATTTATGTGGATCAAAAAACGTTACTATGGAGCAAAAAAGGGAATGTAGAAAGTATAGTAGTACCAACACCTTATAGGGGTTGAAGTTTGGGGTGGTAAATGCAGCAGCGAGGAGAGGGTTGGAGGCAGCGGAGATGTCCTGTTTAAGGGAAATTGTGGTGAAAATTTTATGCAGAAAATTCGAGGGGGAAATTAGGAAAAAGGTGGGGAGTTAATAAAAGTATTAGTCGGGGGCAGAAGAGGGTTGTTGAGGGGGTTTTGGGTCATTTAGAGAGAATGGATCACAGAAATGACAAAAAAAAAGCATAAAAATCTATAGGGGAAGGCAGGGGGGGGTGGGGGTCTCCCAAAAGGGTTTGGGAAGGGGGGGGTAAAGGATTTTTGGGGGTAAGGGGCTTGGACTTCCGCAAGCGGCGTGACGTGTTAATAGGATGAATGGAACGAATGTACTTGGACCTGACGACCTTTTGGGAGTGGAGCAGGGTAATATTTATAAAGGGGATTCAGGGAAACCTTTTATTTTAAAAATTGGGATTTTAGTCCGGGAAATGGGAAGTAAAAAATGCCTGCACTTTAAAGGAGGGGTTTGGGATATTGGCATTTGGGGGATATGTTTGTATCTTTATATTTTATGCTCTAACTTTTGTATTCTGACACCTCTGAAAAAACAGTGAAAATGTGCGATGTGGGAAAGTGTTGAATGAGATGAAAGAAATTTTCTTTTGGGGGGATTTTCTTTCTTTTTTGGGTCCCCTCCTCGTGGGAACGCCGACTTGTTGAAAAAAAAAAAAAAAAAAAAAAAAATATAATTATTTTTTAAAACAAAAGAAAGGCAAACCACTAGGGTCATACGCTGTAAAATATAAAAAAATTCAATACTGTACCTTTTAAAAAGACAGGGCATTTCACTGCTTGGAGCTGTATCTTCTCCTCACCTAATTTCCTCCGAGTCATACTGAAACTGGTTGCTAAAAATTATGTTTTTTCCCCCTGATTTCCTGTGCAAGGTTGTAGAGGCAGTAAAACCCAAAACTGTATCTCCGGGCACTGCAGCTCATGAGAGGGCTCCAACATAAAATACGGTAACAAATGGTTGGGGTTTTTGCAAATTAATGTGAGGATTACTAGTAGATTTGGAATAAAGCTCCACTTTTTTGATTATCCCTTAACAAATTTAAAAGATGTGATTTTCCTTTATTTTACAGATTTTTTTTTTTTTCAATCCATGTACATTGAAAAACCCCAAATTTACAGGCTTCTTAATTCAGTTTTCCATGGTTTTTAAATTGATGGGCAACTTGCAAATAGCTTCTATTCTCCATGTTTTTTGCAATACCCATTTTTGAGGAGCTTGGAGCACAATCCCTAAATTGAAAACTAACTGTAGGATTTCATTTAACCCTTAAACTGTCTAAACGTAGATCTAGGTTTTTTCAACATTTGAAAGTATGTAAAAAAAGTAGATCTTCTCTTCTTTTTTTTACATTTGAAAACATGTAAAAAAAACTTTGGTCTACTTTTTCTTTTGTTATATTTGAAAATATGTGAAAAAACGTAGATTTACTTTTTGGAGCACTACGCATGTGAATGTAAATTTGTTTGGACAGTTTAAGGGTTAAAATGTTTGTATAATTCTGGGATTCCTACATGTTTAACAGACAGAAGGAAACAATCTTGCCAGAATGAAAAATGACTGACAGGTTTCTATTTCTTGCTTGTATTGTGGTACATTCTAGGTAGTAGGTTGGTAGACAGCAACCGCCCAGGGAGGTACTACCGTCCTGCCAAGTGAGTGTAAAACTGAAGCCTGTAATTGTTTTACACGATGGTAAGATTGCTGGTGTCTTTTTTTTTATCTGTCTCATACACATGCAAGATTTCAGGTACGTCTTGCTACTTCTACTTACACTTAGGTCACACTACACATACATGTACAAGCATATATATACACACCCCTTTGGGTTTTCTTCTATTTTCTTTCTAGTTCTTGTTCTTGTTTATTTCCTCTTACCTCCATGGGGAAGTGGAACAGAATTCTTCCTCCGTAAGCCATGCGTGTTGTAAGAGGCGACTAAAATGCCGGGAGCAAGGAGCTAGTAACCCCTTCTCCTGTATATATTACTAAATGTAAAAGGAGAAACTTTCGTTTTTCCTTTTGGGCCACCCCGCCTCGGTGGGATACGGCCGGTGTGTTGAAAGAAAGAAAGAAAGAATTGTGGTACATCCCTGGGTGGTTACTGTAATTATCATTTTCGTTTACTGGTAATATTATTGTGGTTTATACCCCTCAAAGGAGGTTCCTTGATGCTGGTGAGGGGCTCTTGATTTAGGGAATTGGATCTGTGCTCCAGTTCCTTGAATTGAGCCTGAATACCTTCCATCCCCCCCCTCTCAGGCACTGTATAATCCTATGGGTTTAGCACTCCCCCATGTTTATAATAATAATATGTTTATATTTTATTCATGGTAATATTATTATTATTATTCTGATGTTTATAATAACTTCTGCAGCAGATGATCAGGTGTGGCCTCAACGATTAACATGTGAAGCTTCGATTGTTGGCATATGGTTCCTCACATTAAGAATGGAGCGAATCTTCCTTAAGTCTTTGATAGACTTCAAATGTCATCCATTGGCCATTCACTATATCCTTGACTACTATATTAAGGTTGGTTGAATGTTATCTTCTTGAGTTTTAAAATGGTAAATCTTACTGCATCACACTGATAAAATAAATTCTAAACTTTACCCTCACCAGTGATTCAGTTTAATATTTCAGGAGATTTCTTATGACACTTGTAATAAAGTTCTTTGATAACTTTTGTAGCATTGGCAAAAGGTTGCAGATATCTAAAAGTAATTTTGTAATTTTTCTTTAAAACTGCCTAATTTTCCACAGTTGAATATGCATACTGAGGTGCTGAAGCTTCCAGTAGTATTTTTACCTCCAGCTGCCATGACTCTCACTATTCTGACCAAGGGAGACCTGATGACAACCCATCGTTTGGGAAGGCTCATATCTAGGTATATTAATGTTACACACTTCTGCCTCAGATGAATCATTGTCTGTGTTGAGGTACAGGTTTCCCCCCTACTTTATGCAAATTCACTTGCATGCAGTAACCCTATTTCTACCAGGAATTTGCTATATACTGTAAAAAATTTGCTCTAATGCAATTAGAACTAGTGGTGGCTGTGTACTTTTTGCTCTTATGTGATCATCCAAGCCAGCACTATTTTTTTTTTTTTACAGTATTTTTTTATTATTATTAACACACTGGCCGATTCCCACTAAGGCAGGGTGGCTCGAAAAAGAAAAACTTTCACCATCATTCACTCCATCACTGTCTTGCCAGAAGGGTGCTTTACACTTACAGTATATCTTTAATTATCACTAAATTTTTTTTTTTTTTTTTTTTTTTTTTTTTTTTTTTTTTTTTTTTTTTTTTACAAGTCGGCTGTCTCCCACCGAGGCAGGGTGACCCAAAAAGAAAGAAAATTCCCAAAAAGAAAATACTTTTATCATCATTCAACACTTTTACCTCACTCACACAATGGTTTATGTTAACGTAAAACCTTAATAGAGATTAAATAGATTTGGGCATGGAAAATTCCATGAATTCATTTTTAACAAATTTCTAGGATTGGTTTTCCTCTGTTATATAATGCTACTTGAAAAGTCTTAAAAGTACCCCCCTGCCACATCCAACCAAGGCAGAGTGACTAAATATCCAATCAAATCTTTTTTTTCTTGATTACTTCCAGTTTGATTAATGACAGAGAAAATTATAATTGTCCAGAGGGCTGAGGAAGGGTTGTTGAGGTGGTTCAGACATGTAGAGAGAATGGAGCGAAACAGAATGACTTCAAGAGTGTATCAGTCTGTAGTGGAAGGAAGGCGGGGTAGGGGTCGGCCTAGGAAAGGTTGGAGAGAGGGGGTAAAGGAGGTTTTGTGTGCAAGGGGCTTGGACTTCCAGCAGGCATGCGTGAGCGTGTTTGATAGGAGTGAATGGAGACAAATGGTTTTTAATACTTGACGTGCTGTTGGAGTGTGAGCAAAGTAACATTTATGAAGGGGTTCAGGGAAACCGGCAGGCCGGACTTGAGTCCTGGAGATGGGAAGTACAGTGCCTGCACTCTGAAGGAGGGGTGTTAATGTTGCAGTTTAAAAACTGTAATGTAAAGCACCCTTCTGGCAAGACAGTGATGGAGTGAATGATGGTGAAAGTTTTTCTTTTTCGGGCCACCCTGCCTTGGTGGGAATCGGCCAGTGTGATAATAAAAAAAAACAAAAAAAAAAAATTATAATTGCCTGGTCCATTTAAAAATTAAGCCTCAATGTTTTTTACTCGGTAGGCCAGATGGCTACTATATGTACTTTTATTAATTTTCGTCCCTGCTTTAATTAGTGTAACTCCTCATTAATCACTGTTATGAACCTCAAATTCATCAAATTGACAAGTGGATTTTTTCTTTCAGTCCTACCTTTGTCAGTTACTTGCATGTACCTTTATTTTTGTTTTTTTTTTTCAACAAGTCGGCCGTCTCCCACCGAGGCAGGGTGACCCAAAAAAGAAAGAAAATCCCCAAAAAGAAAATGCTTTCATCTTCATTCAACACTTTCACCACACTCATACATAATCACTGTTTTTGCAGAGGTGCTCAGAATACAACAGTTTAGAAGCATTACATATAAAGATACACAACATATCCCTCCAAACTGCCAATATCCCAAACCCCTCCTTTAAAGTGCAGGCATTGTACTTCACATTTCCAGGACTCAAGTCCGACTATATGAAAATAACCGGTTTCCCTGAATCCCTTCACTAAATATTACCCTGCTCACACTCCAACAGATCGTCAGGTCCCAAGTACCATTCGTCTCCATTCACTCCTATCTAACACGCTCACGCACGCTTGCTGGAAGTCCAAGCCCCTTGCCCACAAAACCTCCTTTACCCCCTCTCTCCAACCCTTTCGAGGACGACCCCTACCTCGCCTTCCTTCCCCTATAGATTTATATGCTTTCCATGTCATTCTACTTTGATCCATTCTCTAAATGACCAAACCACCTCAACAACCCCTCTTTTGCCCTCTGACTAATACTTTTATTAACTCCACACCTTTTCCTAATTTCCACACTCCAAATTTTTTGCATAATATTTACACCACACATTGCCCTTAGACAGGACATCTCCACTGCCTCCAACCGTCTCCTCGCTGCTGCATTTACCACCCAAGCTTCACACCCATATAAGAGTGTTGGTACTACTATACTTTCGTACATTCCCTTCTTTGCCTCCATAGATAACGTTTTTTGACTCCACATATACCTCAATGCACCACTCACCTTTTTTCCCTCATCAATTCTATGATTAACCTCATCCTTCATAAATCCATCCGCCGACACGTCAACTCCCAAGTATTTGAAAACATTCACTTCTTCCATATTTCTCCTCCCCAATTTGATATCCAATTTTTCTTAATCTAAATCATTTGATACCCTCATCACCATACTCTTTTCTATGTTCACTTTCAACGTTCTACCTTTACACACATTCCCAAACTCATCCACTAACCTTTGCAATTTTTCTTTAGAATCTCCCATAAGCACAGTATCATCAGCAAAAAGTAACTGTGTTAATTCCCATTTTGAATTTGATTCCCCATAATTTAATCCCACCCCTCTCCCGAACACCCTAGCATTTACTTCCTTTACAACCCCATCTATAAATATATTAAACAACCATGGTGACATTACACATCCCTGTCTAAGACCTACTTTTACCGGGAAGTAGTCTCCCTCTCTTCTATACACCCTAACCTGAGCCTCACTATCCTCATAAAAACTCTTTACAGCATTTAATAACTTACCACCTATTCCATATACTTGCAACATCTGCCACATTGCTCCCCTATCCACTCTATCATATGCCTTTTCTAAATCCATAAATGCAATAAAAACTTCCCTACCTTTATCTAAATACTGCTTCAATGTAAATACTGCTTCAATGTAAACACTTGATCTACACATCCCCTACCCACTCTGAAACCTCCTTGCTCATCCGCAATCCTGCATTCTGTCTTACCTCTAATTCTTTCAATTATAACCCTACCATACACTTTTCCTGGTATACTCAATAAACTTATTCCTCTATAATTTTTACAATCTCTTTTGTCCCCTTTCCCTTTATATAAAGGGACTATACATGCTCTCTGCCAATCCCTAGGTACCTTCCCCTCTTTCATACATTTATTAAACAAAAGTACCAACCACTCCAACACTATATCCCCCCCTGCTTTTAACATTTGTCATGATCCCATCAGTTCCAGCTGCTTTACCCCCTTTCATTCTACGTAATGCGTCGCATACCTCCCCCACACTTACATTCTGCTCTTCTTCACTCCTAAAAGATGGTATACCTCCCTGACCAGTGCATGAAATTACCGCCTCCCTTTCTTCCTCAACATTTAAAAGTTCCTCAAAATATTCTCGCCATCTACCTAATACCTCCCTCTCCCCATCTACTAACTCCCCAACTCTGTTTTTAACTGACAAATCCATACTTTCCCTAGGCTTTCTTAACTTGTTTAACTCCAAAATTTTTCTTATTTTCATTAAAATTTCTTGACAGTGCCTCTCCCACTCTATCATCTGCTATCCTTTTGCACTCTCTCACCACTCTCTTCACCTTTCTTATACTCTCCATATACTCTGCTCTTCTTATAACACTTCTGCTTTGTAAAAACCTCTCATAAGCTAACTTTTTCTCTTTTATCACACCCTTTACTTCATCATTCCACCAATCACTCCTCTTTCCACCTGCCCCCACCCTCCTATAACCACAAACTTCTGCCCCACATTCTAATACTGCATTTTTACAACTATTCCAACCCTCTTCAACCCCCCCACTACTCATCTTTGCACTAGCCCACCTTTCTGCCAACAGTCGCTTAAATCTCCCCCGAACTTCCTCCTCCCTTAGTTTATACACTTTCACCTCCCTCTTACTTGTTGTTGCCACCTTCCTCTTTTCCCATCTACCTCTACTCTAACGTAGCTACAACTAAATAATGATCCGATATATCAGTTGCCCCTCTATAAACATGTACATCCTGGAGCCTACCCATCAACCTTTTATATCCACAATAAACTATCTAATAAGCTACTTCACTTTTGTACTATACCTTGTTTATAAATTATTCCTTTTTCAAAAATATTCTATTACACATACCAAATTCTTTCTACACATAATGTAAATTAGATTAATCCGTTTCAGGCCCCCAAAAATACACTTACAAAAGCACTTGCATAGATTTTTGTGTTTTGAGCTGTTTGTATCCTGAGGTACCACTGTATAGTAATATCATAGAATTAAAAACAATCTTATAGCATGAGGACAGCTATGCAGCGCTTGATGAACATGGAAACCAAGGGGCCAGAGGCAGCAATACAAGAGGAATGCAAAACCAAGGCAGAAAATATCAATGCATGTGTTATCCTCTTCATTAGTGGTGTATATAATGCTAAGGTAAGGAAAGACTCGAGGTTGCTTCCTCACTGTTATTCTTGTCAATTTCTCCATTACAGTGCTACATGGAAAAACTGCCAAGTCATTTTTATTATAAATAATATTTGTTGTTTTGCCTGGAAATGTTTATGGTGCCCTGAATTTTCTTTGGAAAAGAACTAATGTAACAAAGACTTGAACAAAAATTAACAAACTCTAGTAATATAACATTGTCACATGTACTGTATTTTTCATGTTTCAGGCCCTAAGAACAAAATGGGTAAGAATGCTGGGCCCTTTATATCCATTCCACTTGCAGAGTGCATTGAAAAGAGTAAATACCTGTAGCTATGCTGCAGTAACAGATGCACTTGCATATCTTCCCTTTTTCACCAAGTACTTGGTTGACACTGAAGAAGCTTGGAGTGCAAAAGAAGTAAGTTTTCTGAACATAATTGTCATGTAATTTTTCTCTGCATTTAGCATAAAGAGAAATGTGATGAAATCTGGAAGCTTCTGCCAGTTTCTGTATTCTTTCTTCTTTCTTTCAACGTACCAGCCGTATCCCACCGAGGTGGGGTGGCCCAAAAGGAAAAACGAAAGTTTCTCCTTTCAAATTTAGTAATATATACAGGAGAAGGGGTTACTAGCTCCTTGCTCCCGGCATCAGTTTCTATATATGAATGATTAAATGTTTCTACGATTGTCCTTGAATCTTCCTGCCACATCTGCCATCCTCCTCACTGCATCCTTTGGGAACCACTGACAGGGTAACTTTCCTTCATCACTCAGTGAGGGGCAAAATTATTCTTTAAAGGATGAATGGGTAAGACAAGGAAAGTACTTTGAAGCTGCTGTGCACTGGGGTAGAGGAGGCTGTGGGAGAGTAAAGATGGGTGAAAAGCAGTTTTCCTGTCAGATGTGCTATCCACAATAACATGCCTTTTCTAATTCATTGTGGGATGTACAGATGCACATGTCATTTGCTAGTTGATCAGTACTATACATAACTGGGTGGCCAAGCCATCAGCAAAATAAACACTGCAGTGTAGTGGGTTGTAATTATATTATAATTATGGGGGAGCACTAAACCCATAGGATTATACAGTGCATGTGGGGGGGGATGGAAGGTATTCAGGCTCAATTCAGGGAACTGGAGCACAGATCCAATTCCCTAGATCAAGAGCCCCTCACCACCGTCAAGGAACCTCCCTTGAGGGGGAGTGGGTTGTAGCTCTATTATTGCCATCCATTGTTCCAGCAGATATCCTGTTTCATTCACTGTCTTTCTTCAAATTATCTTCCTCAATCATTTGAGGAAGATCATGCAAAGAAAGACACCTCTCTGGCACTGGCAGTGTGAATTCAGCTGATCATGGCAACTGAGTGATGGCTTTGCTAGCCATTGCTTACAGTTTGGATAGAGGATCAAGTTGAGATATATCCTTCATGTAAACAATTTTTTTTTTTTTTATCATGCAGTTTATGGAAGGTGATCCAGTAGCCAATGGGTGATATTAATGTGAAATTAAAGAGAGAAAATTGTCAACTATTGAAGTTAGATTCTAGTGGCAACCATGGGTGGAGGAAGTGGTAAATGTACTAGATTGACCAGAGGTGCTAGGATCTTGGTGAGCAGTTAAATGATGGGGTCACCTGTCAATGATCTTCCAGGATGATGATGATCTTTCAACGCACCAGCCGTGTCCCACTGAGGTGGGGTGGCACGAAAAGAAAAACAAGTTTCGCTTTTTAAATTTAGTAATATATACAGAAGGGGTTACTAGCATGGCTTACAGAGGAAGAATTCTGTTCCACATCCCCATGGAGATGAGAGGAAATAGACAAGAACAAGAACTAGAAAGAAAATAGAAGAAAACCCAGAGGGTATGTATGTATATGCTTGTACATGTATGCGTAGTGTGACCTAAGTGTAAGTAGAAGTAGCAAGACGTACCTGAAATCTTGCATGTTTATGAAACAGAAAAAAGGACACCAGCAATCCTGCCATCATGTAAAACAATTACAGGCTTTTGTTTTACACTCACTTGGCAGGATGATGTTGCTTACAGGAAATTAGTATAGGACTACACAAATCCATATATATGTACTGTAATATACTCAAACTCACCAGAGCCGAGTTGTACAGGCTATAAGGAAACCAAATGCAAGTTAACATGCACAGGGTTCCTCCATCCCAAAACAGTTTCATGCATAGATCACTGTAATTTGAATATTTCCCCATGCCAGTGCAAAAACAGTTTACCAATGTACCTCATCTAGGATACTTGCCCTTTCAGCAAAGGGTGGCCTTAAAGACAACCTGTACAGAAGTCCTGCATTGGTGAGTTAGATCCTTGCAGTAGAGAATGATGCATCCACCAGTAAACCTGAGGGCACCTACAGACATTGCTTGCAGGAATATGGAATTGCAGAAATAAAAGATTCCCTTCTTCCTCAACTAGCCTTAGTGGGAATTTTATTTGGTTTTTGCCCCCACCTTGCAAGGCCTAAGAAATATCGTAATCCCTTCTGCTTGGTGGGGTATACATGTACTCGTCTAGTTCTGTTTGATGTTAAGTCATAGCTCATGGACCTGACTAAACATCATTGATTATTAATTTCTAGTCTCCAGAGTCCCAATGTTTGATAAGGTTCCTGAAAGCAATTTTTAGTGTACGTGTATATGCTCCTACACATTTTACTGTAGACTAATCAAGAACTTGTATACAAGTAGTCTACCCTATAGTTTCTTATTTCTTTTTAAGGAATTTCTTATAACAGGTACTATGGAGAGTGGAAAATCAATTTGTTTTTTTCTACATTATATAATGTGTGCTTCATTTCACAATTGACCCTATATGTTAGAGAGGAGCTTTTGACATTGTTTTGGTCTGTCCTGGACCATTATCACGTCACAGCTGGTGTTCCTTGATAATAGTCCAGGACAGACTGATGCATCATATAGAGTTTCTCCAAATTGTGGGTTAATTTCCAGCTATTGTATTGTGATTTTTCTTCACATATAATTTTCCTTACACAAATTTTTACCCACAGAAAGAAGAGGTGCGGGACAAAGTACTTGCCGAGTTGCAGGAAGCTGGATTAACAGGAATTAAGGAGTGTGTGAATGTTTACACTAAAGGATAATTGTCATCCTACATGTTCCATTTACCTCTGATCTGTTATCTATTATACTTAGTGTGGCACTGTATGACCCTTGTAGGTTTAGCACTTCTTTTTTATTATAATATATTTAGCAGTGGTAATCAGGGGCAATTCCAATTGTGTGCCAGTCCTTCACTGGCATCAAGAGACTGAAAAGATAATTCACACTGGCAGTATTGCTTAATCTTGCATTTTGGGGAAGGAGCTAAACTTGTATGGGTCATACATTGTATGGAGAATGAGATGTAATCAGGTTTGATCTGATTTCTACCCTTCACAGGAGATGCCTTGATGGTGAGGGGGGTTGTGATACAAGGAATTGGACCTATCTTCCTTTTCCTTGGATTGAACCCAGATTACTTCCAAGTCCTTCAAGCACTGTATGACCCTATTGGTATAGTTCACTTTCCCAATGAATGTAACGACCAACTGTCTAGTTCCTTTCATCAAAGGCCCTTCAGCACCATGAGCATTAAGCTTAAATGGAAAGTAATCGGGTTTCATCCAAGGAAGGAAAACTCGATTCCTTCCTTGGATGAAACCTGATTACTTGCCATTTGAGTTTAATGCTCATGGTTGTCTTAATGTAAAATATGTGCTAAACAGCTCGAGAAAAATACACATGGTAATAGGATGTTGGATGCAAGGATTATAGTCTGTATAAAAGTTATAAAACTAACTACAGGACAAACTTTTCATCAGTGAAACACATGGCAGCAGTGGTTGAAGTCTGGACTTTGGTACATCATTTGCAAGTGGGCTATGCAGCTTCACGAGTGGGCTCACCTGTCTTTGGGTCAATCTCTGCACTACTTTCAGCAAAGCCCAGATGGTGGTGTATGTGATGGCAGAAGACTGTATGACCTTTGTGGTTTTTACACTTAGTTATGATTATAAAGTTAGAGAAAACTGCCATCTTCTAACATCACATGCACCTCATCTGACCTCCATTGAACGTAGTGCAGGGTTTGGGTCAAAAGCAGATGAATAAACTGTTGAAGATGCATGCCCCCCCCCCCCCCACACACACACACACACACTTGTAATTCTACAAAAGTTCAGACATTGATCTTTTGCCATGATTTGATCAAAAGTTTGTCTTGCAGCTGGCATCATAACACTGCAGACTGGAAAGAAATACAAAGAATATGTAATCATTTATATGTATTTTATTTACTAAACTTCAAAAATGCTGTTTGTTTCTTGATGCTAGTGAAAGACTAAGACATCCCAAGGATGTGATTAGGATAACCACTAAACAGAGCCTGGGGAATGAAAGCAATCAAATTTGATCCAAGGAGGAGGGAAAGTTCAGTTCCTTGATGAGCCATTCACCAGCAAGGAAATCGCTTAGAAGAGTCTTAATATTGGTCGAGGCAGTTTGTTCAAGGAGCTGGACTTATCCTTTCTTTGGATCAAATTGATTGTCTTCCATTACCCAGGTACTGTGGCCTCTACAGGTTTAATACTTCCCCCCCTGATTAAATTAAAAGATATAAGGAATTTGGTGCTCCCTTAAATCATTAAATTAATTGGTTAGCACTTGCCCATAATTATAGAGATTGGACAGAATGGCAAACACTTAGAAAATAGAAATGGTGTTCCTTTGTCTCACCCAACATGGTATCATACATTTTATCTGCTGCCTTACATAGTCCACAAGGAGTATTATAGTCACAGAGGAGTGCTAAACCTGTAGGATTATACAGTGCATGTGGGGTGGGGGATGGAAGGTATTCAGGCAGCTGGAGCAAAACAATTCCGAGTGACTAGCAGAGTATTGTCCCATGGGCTATAGAGGTAAAATTGAAAGCCCATGTATGAGGCTATTGACCATGTGGTATGGGACAATTGATCCATGATTATGTCAGGCATCAATATATGGTCTGCTTGTTCGAAACTGTCACCAGACTAACAAAAGTGAGATGCTAGAACTTGTTAAACTTATCATCATCTAACACAATGGGATGGTTGTTTGTGTATCCAAGTAAGAGGTGATTACTGAGCACAATTTAGTAACCTTACTACACAAGCACTGACATCATTCCATGTAGATTCCATAAACCATTCTTTCATATCTGCTGTATACTTGATAAAGCCCAATGTGGGAAGAATGTAAAGGGTATTTTTAACAATCATTAATTCTGAACTTACAAATCTTTAAATAATTATAAAGGTTTTATATTTAGCATCTATATTACACAAATAACCCATACATAGAAGAGGAGCTCACGATGACATTTCAGTTCGACTTAGACCATTTACAAAGTCACACTAACAGAAGAGAGACGGGGGCAGTATATATAGGCCAGCAGACAAGGACGGGACAAGAGAGGTAGTAAGACAGGAAGTAGAGGTAGTAATAGTGGAGTCAGACCAAGAAGAGCACTGCAGGAGAGCTAGGGGCCCACAAAGGGTAAGAACAAAAACAAGGAGAGGGGGGACCTAGCTCTCCTGCAGTGCTCCTCTTTCTTAGTCTGACTCCACTATTATTACCACTACTTCCTGTCCTGCTACCTCTTGTTTCATCCCTGTCTGCTGGCCTATATGTACTGCCCCCCTTCTCTCCTCTGTCAATGTGACTTTGTAAATGGTCCAAGTCAGACTGAAATGTTGTAAGCTCCCCTCTCTTGTATGTGCTGGTTATTTGTGTATTCCAGTCATAGTATTGTGCCTTTTTGTTATTTAGCATCATATATATTCCTTTCCTAACTTGCTACACTTATATAATGATAATCTAGCAATGAGCACTTAGTGTATTATATCTAGCATGTATTCTAAGCACAAAATATAATTTGTTGTACATTTGTCATGTTTTTAAATTTTCATTAATCATTGAAGAAGTCAAAAATGAAAATTTCATTCAGCTGTTTGAAAACATATAATTCCCTGCTTTAATAAATAGTATTTGTATTTCAGATTCAATAATTTCCCTTCTCTTCATCTACTTTAAATCTACATTCAATCTGGATGATATATCTTAGTACATTTCAATACCAGTTATCATTCCTCGAGATTGTGTGTACTTTTCTGAGTCGCCCTTTTACCATCCTTCATTAAATGTCTTGCTGTTACACACAACACAATTAGAATGATTCAGTTCAGAAGGTCATTTGAATGTCTGAGCAAGAAGGCTATTGAATGGTGATTTTTTTTTTTTTTTTTTTTTTTTTTCTTTTTGGGGCTCACCCTATCTTGGGGAAAAATGGTTTAAAAAAAAAAATCTTAGCACATCGCCCAGATTAATGTACTGTAGTTTCAAAATACATGAAGAGATAAGGCAAATTATTTTATTCATGAAATATAAATATTTACAAATATACTTTGAATACTATACATCTATTCATTAATTCTAGAACATAAAAAAATACCACAAATCTTATCACCCTAAAGTACTGTTGAGGTATCGAACAAACAAAGCCATCAGCTTGCTGGCATCTTCAACAGGGTGCATCTTTGTGTAGGAGATAAACTGTCTCCGAGCTCGGGTATTTCTGCCATAATGTAACCTGGAAGACTGTTACCCCGTGGTGAAATTTTAAAAGAAGTGTATATTTACAATAAACACATGAATTTCCCTATGTGCGTATTAAACTCCTTTGCCAAGAAGCCATCAGGACTTCTCATGTGTCAATCATTTACCAAATGTTTCATAATTTTTCCCACAAGGTCAGTATTTTTGTTATTACTAAATATTTAATACATTGTTTTAGCAATCTCTTATTTTTTTGTTTTGATGTCCCTTTGATTCTAAAGAAAAATTGCAAAGGTTAGTGGATGAATTTGGGAGTGTGTAGAAAGTTGAAAGTGAACATAGAAAAGAGTAAGGTGATGAGGGTATCAAATGATTTAAATAAAGAAAAATTGGATATCATATTTGGGAGGAGTATGGAAGAAGTGAATGTTTTCAGATACTTGGGAGTTGATGTGTCGGCGGATGGATTTATGAAGGATGAGGTTAATCATAGAATTGATGAGGGAAAAAAGGCGAGTGGTGCATTGAGGTACATGTGGAGACAAAAAACGTTATCTATGGAGGCAAAGAAGGGAATGTATGAAAGTATAGTAGTACCAACACTCTTATATGGATGTGAAACTTGGGTTGTGAATGCAGCAGCGAGGAGGCGGTTGGAGGCACTGGAGATGTCCTGTCTAAAGGCAATGCGTGGTGTAAATATTATGCAGAAAATTCAGAGTGTGGAAATTAGGAGGTGTGGAGTTAATAAAAGTATTAGTCAGAGGGCTGAAGAGGGGTTGTTGAGGTAGTTTGGTCATTTAGAGAGAATGGATCAAAGTAGAATGACATGGAGATCATTTAAATCTGGAGGAGAAGGAAGATGGGGTAGGGGTCGTCCTCGAAAAGGTTGGAAGGAAGGGGTAAGGGAGGTTTTGTGGGCAAGGGGCTTGGACTTCCAGCAGGCGTGCATGAGCGTGTTTGATAGGAGTGCATGGAGACGAATGATATTTGGGACCTGACGATCTGCTAGAGTGTGAGCAGGGTAATAGTGAAGGGATTCAGGGAAACCGGTTATTTTTATATAGCCAGACTTGAGTCCTGGAAATGGGAAGTACAATGCCTGCACTCTAAAGGAGGGTTTCGGGATATAAGCAATTTGGAGGGATATGTTGTGTATCATTATACGTATATGCTTCTAAATTGTTGTGTTCTGAGCACCTCTGCAAAAACAGTGATTATGTGTGAGGTGAAAGTGTTGAATGATGATGAAAGTATTTTCTTTTTGGGGATTTTCTTTCTTTTTGGGTCACCCTGCCTTGGTGGGAGACAGCCGACTTAAAAAAAGTCCCTTTGGTATATTCTTTTATCTTCTTATTGTTATCCTCTTAATATTAAGCTTTAAATATGATTTGGGCTAATACTAACCCAGAATTCAACCTCTTAAAAATATACAACAATGAATAGCTTACTTGCAGGTACATTGAGCCCTCTAATAGACTAATAAGGGAAAGGGGTTGTTCATTACTGCTGATTGTCCATAGATTCCTAATTATGAAAGTTATTTTTCATGATCATACATGGACAAAATGTAGAATTAGCAGACTTATCCACTCACAATATCTAAATTATATATGGTGTACTGCACTACCTGGTCAATTACCTTATGCCCAAAACATACAGTTTCTTCAACCCCAGGAACCTTGATGTTGTCTCCAGCTACCATAATTTTCTGGGCTGACATAATACAGCTTGTCACCTCCTGTTGGAAAAATGTAACACTGAAATAACTTCAATCCACAATCAAATGTCAGATCATAACAAATGTTTTATACTTTATATAAATTTAAAGAGAAGAGGAACAATCTCTTAGAGCAACAATAAGATGAGTTAATGTAATCTCTGACAAGTAAAGGACTTGATAAATGGTATATGCAAGCTATTAAAATACAATACTGTGAATGCACAGAAGAAAAAAAAATTAAAATATCGTGGAATATATAACATCAGTATGAACTAGCTTTCAGCTCAAACTCAAAACAAATGAGGAGATCTTAAATACAACTCTCTCCAGCAGGGATGCACAACCCATTCAATCACCAAATACTAATGACTAAATAAAAGTATAAAGTGTGTAAAAGAGTAAGACCAATGGATGGTACTCAGTGTAAAGTCAATGGTAGTTTGATTATTTTGCACAAGACAGATGGCCACAACTGTTCTGTGTACAACATGCTATACAAGTAAACAATTATACTGATGCGAGTATAAAAACTACAATATTAAGCAGAACAGGTAAAGGTATGTAGGAGATAGATTATTTTCCAGTAAAAGTAGGCTTTAGACAGGGATGAGTGATATCACCATGGTTAACATATTTATAGATAGGTTATAAAAGAAGTGAACACGGGTGTTAAGGAGAGGTGTGGGATTGAAAGTGAATCTAGTACAGAGTGGGAGTTGTCACAGTTACTTTTTGCCTATGACAGTTCTCTTGGGAGATTCAGAGAAGTTGCAAAGGTTGGTAAATGAACTTGGGAGGGTATATAAAAAAATTAAATTAAAAGTAAATTTAGGAAAAAGCAAGGTGATGAAAGTATAAAAAAAAAATATAGATAATGAGACACTGAATATTAGATTGGAGGGAATATGGAGGAAGTAAATGTATTCAAGTATTTGGGAGTGGAATTGTCTAATGGTTCTACAAGAGATGAGTTGAACCACAGACCTAAAGAAGATAAAAAGGTGGATGGTGCATTAAGGCATTTGTGGAAACAGAACTTTGTCTCGGATGCAAAAAGGGTAATGTACCAGAATTGTGGTACATTACCCTTTTTTGCACCCTTTATGGGTGTGAGTCATGGGTTTTGAACATTAAAACAAGGTTAGAGGCAGTAGAGATGTGTTTGAGGGCAATGTGAATATTAAGTAGAGAATTCAGAGTTTGGAGATCAGGAGGTATGAAGTCACCAAAAGCATTATTCCGAGGGCTGAGGAGGGGTTGTCGAGATGGTTTGGACATATAAAGATGGAGAAAAATAGGATGACTAGGACAGCATATAAATTTTTGGTAGAGGAAAGGAGTAGGGCTCACCTTAGGAAAGGTTGGAGGGGTTTTTTAAAAGAGGTTTAGAGTGCTAGGGGCTTGGACATAGAGCAGGCTTGTGTATTTCAGACAGGAGTGATATGGAAATGGTTTTTATGATTTGATGTGCTGTTGGAATGTAAGCAAGATAACGTTTACGAAGGGATTCAGGAAAACTGGTTAGCTGGACTTGAGTCCTGCACTCCAGAGAGGTGGGGATGTTGCAGGTTGGAAGGTCATCTGAACAGTGATGTTGGCACCCATCTGGCAAGACAGTGATTGAATGAGATACAGTGAAAGTGTTATTGTTAAGTCACCTTATCTCAATGGAAGATGACCAGTGTTAAAAAAGAAAATAAATAACCTATACTAATTTTCTTATTCTAACTTGAATCTACTTCAGATAACTGATACATAAAACACTGAAAGTCATCAACACTACACTTTTTTTTTTTTCCCAACAAGTCGGCCGTCTCCCACCGAGGCAGGGTGACCCAAAAAGAAAGAAAATCCCCAAAAAGAAAATACTTTCATCATCATTCAACACTTTCACCTCACTCACACAATCACTGTTTTTGCAGAGGTGCTCAGAGCACAACAGTTTAGAAGCATATACGTATAAAGATACACAACATATCCCTCCAAACTGCTAATATCCCAAAACCCCTCTAAACCCCTCCTTTAGAGTGCAGGCATTGTACTTCCCATTTCCAGAACTCGAGTCCGGCTATATAAAAATAACCGGTTTCCCTGAATCCCTTCACTAAATAATATAATAAATAATAAACACTACACATCTAGGATATTTCATTTTATTCATGTGATGCACCTGGGAAATGGAAGGCATAAAGGTTTGACCCAAGGAATAGGAAGGTTAGTGTCCAGTCCTCAGATGAAGAGCCCCCTCACATTGCATCTAGCAATTGTATCATGCTGGCAGGATTTTTGTCAATTATATTTCCATCAAAACATATTTTCTAAGGGTCAATCTAACACTTAATATGAATATTAATGTATTTAATGTCTTACAATCAATTGTGCAACTAGTTTAATAACAGCTGGCTGTAGCTTTACTGTGCCAATCACACACAGTATGCTCAAACAAACTTAATCTTGACAAAATGTAGAGGTATGTAAAAAGTGAAATTTAGTAGTCTATAATGACAAGGTACAAAATATAAATATACTCTCTCAATGAGATTCCTACATGAAATTTTTCTTTCACAAAATTCTTAATAGTCAAGTCATAAGCATAAGGAAAAGACATTTTGATTTTTCCAAAGCACTTTAACCTATGAGGTTATTCAGAGCTTGTCAATAAATGTTATAGTATATACACGCACACACATTACCAGGAAACCCTCAAGTTATACAAGCATAAAGCACACCACTATATATTAATAAACAGTACATTACCTGTGTTGTACGATCTAGCTCAAAGAGAAAATTTGTGGATGATAGTGGCTGAGTCTGTGTAGACTGGTTGGGTGGAGGCGGCTTGCACAGGTATAAAGCATCATAAATGAATTCATATGGTGGTGCGTCTTCTGGCAAGATGGTGAACATTGGAGAATCCCATCTGTTGCATTAATTTAATGTAAGATTACTGTTACAATGAAAAAAAAAAAACATGAGATTTCAATGATTGCTTAAAGTATTGTCTGAATGAAGTGCTAAGAAAATTTTGTCTATAGGCATCCTGTTATCTGGTAACATCAAACTTATTTACAATATTATAGTAACATTATGACAATGATTTTCGAGATAAGCCAATAAATTCTTGACTTAATGACTTACCTTGAAACAAGTCAATTACACACATTTTCTCCCAAAGCAAAACTCAAAAAGAAACTTTCTGGTTTAAAAATAGCATGTTGTGCCAACAACTTGCATCCTCTTTTGAATAGTCAACATTTTTTGGGAACATCAGTAGCAAATGTAACATGTGGAGAAGTGCATGATCTTGTGTAAAGTGAGGAATTAAAGGATTAAATCAGGGGTCTGCAAAATGAGAATTATGATACAGAGAAGATTTGAGTAGTGTTGGAAGATGTTCTCTGGTTAGTGGGGGGGGGGGGGAGACTACTCTTCATGTGCGCTCAGAACAGCACCAGGTGCAAGGTGTTAAATGTCCTGAGACTTCAGGTGTGGATTTGTAGGTACAGAAGGGGCAAGGTTTTAGAGTCAAGAGAAACAATGGGAGATGTATGCAGATAGGTGGCATGTTTATTATTGGGGGCAGGAATAGGGGATCTGAATAAGATGGGGAAAGGTGTAATGGAGAGTAAGGGGTGTAATCACTGATGGTGAGGTATATGTTGTGATGGCTATGGCAAGGAGAAGGGCAGGGTTGGAGGATACAGGACCAGTGACTCTATGCGTAGATTTCTCTATCTTAAAGATTTTAGGGAAAAGGAAAAAAAAAGTGGGTTATGGGAAGAGCCACTGAACCCTTTTCTTTTGCAACATGGGGTTACTAAGAAAATGTCTGTGGGTGGAAATCCTATTATAGATGATTTTGCAGGAGTGTAGGAAGGAAGCCTTCATTTCTTAGGAATGGCAAGGGTGTATGATTCAGTCTTGAAGGGGTATTGAGTGTGGTGCTCCTGCAGCAAGGTTTTGGGGAGGTGATGATGGGGTGGGTGGAAACTCTCCACAGGGATGTGATAGACTGGATTATGATTAATGTGGGACTGGAAAGGGGATGGAAATGGAAAACAGCAAGACAAGACAGCCCAGTGTTGCATGTTTTCTATGAGAGTTTTAAAGAAACTTTTCATGGGATGGCAAGGGCTCTGGTGGCTAGTGCCAGAGGATCCCTTGCAAGGATCACTTTTGGCAAGACAGCAATACTTATTAATAATACTACTGTTAAAATCAAATTAGTCTGCAATATGCTCTGAATATATTTTTTACTAATTATTATTACATTCATGGGTGAGCACTAAACCCATAGAGGGTCATATACCACCTAGAGGAATGCGAGGTATTCAGATTCAATCCAAGGAGGGGGTAACACAGGTACAATTCCTTAGAGCAAGAGCTGTTCACTGGCATTAAAGAACCTCCTTTGAGGGGGATCTGTGTACTAAAAATACAGGGATTCTTACTTGATACTTCTGTTGAGACTGTTTCACTGTACATCCTTCAAGCACCTCGAGTATTGCTCAGAGTGCAATATCAGTGGCATAAATCCTCACCTATTACTACTGTTGGGAGCCTCGTATCTCATCACAAGTTCGTCAAACACTTCTCGAGCATACTGCTCTGCTTCCTGTCTTGCCTGGTTCCATGTCCATGCCTGTTCAATGGGGGCCAAGCAATGAACTAGGCACTGTGTGGTTTTAATTTGTTTTGATGCACAATATAACTCATATCTGAAAGACCAAAACATTAGTACTGCTGCCGTTTCTGCTTGAATCCACCTTTACCTACCGTATTCCGTGTCCAGTCAAATCTGTATTGTAAAATATGCACAATATACTTGAGTAAAACCTCAGAAAATTGTGTTGATCCTTGAAACAATCACTTCAACGAACACTACCTTGAGCTCTACCTACAATTTTTCAGTTGGGAAGAAGCATGTGCTTAAAATTATTAAGCACTAAACCCTTAAGAGTCATACAGAACTGTGGGAAGGGATGTGTGAAGAACAGGGAGTGAGAGGTAGGGGTCTGTACAGTTAGGAGTTAGTAGAGGTGGGGGTCTGTATAAGTAAAACTAAAATCAAAGTTAATGTAACAGGTTAATTTCAGCTAAGTGGAAAAGAATCTTTCCTCCGTAAGCCATGCGTGTCGTATGGGGCGACTAAAATGCCGGGAGCAATGGGCTAGTAACCCCTTCTCCTGTAGACATTTACTAAAAAAGAGAAGAAGAAAAACTTTATAAAACTGGGATGCTTAAATGTGCGTGGATGTAGTGCGGATGACAAGAAACAGATGATTGCTGATGTTATGAATGAAAAGAAGTTGGATGTCCTGGCCCTAAGCGAAACAAAGCTGAAGGGGGTAGGGGAGTTTCAGTGGGGGGAAATAAATGGGATTAAATCTGGAGTATCTGAGAGAGTTAGAGCAAAGGAAGGGGTAGCAGTAATGTTAAATGATCAGTTATGGAAGGAGAAAAGCAAATATGAATGTGTAAATTCAAGAATTATGTGGATTAAAGTAAAGGTTGGATGCGAGAAGTGGGTCATTATAAGCGTGTATGCACCTGGAGAAGAGAGGAATGCAGAGGAGAGAGAGAGATTTTGGGAGATGTTAAGTGAATGTATAGGAGCCTTTGAACCAAGTGAGAGAGTAATTATGGAAGGGGACCTGAATGCTGAAGTAGGAGAAACTTTTAGAGATTGGAGAAATTTTGGGGTAGGGAAAGGAAAGGGGTTTGATTAATTTAAAAATTTTTAGTTAAGGAAAAAATTTTTTAAGAAAAGAAAAAAATGTATAAAAGTAAAGGGGGAAAAATCAGAAGGGGGCCCCCCGAAGTTTTTTTTCACTAGAAGAGTCAAGGAAGAGTTTTTTTGGAATTTGTGAAGAAAATTAGCTTTCCCCCCAAAAAAGAAATTTTTTTTTTAAAAGGCGACCCCAAGCGGGGTGGAAAAGAAAAACTTTTTTTTAATTTAGTAATTTGGGAAAAGAGGTTAATTGCCCCCTTTTGGGGCCCTTAAAAACCCCGGGGTACGGGGGAAAATTTATTATTAGGTAAAAAATAAAAAGAAAAAAAGGAAAAAAGAAAAACCCCAAGGGGGGTTGATTAGGCTGACATTAAGTGGACCAAGTTAATTGAAAATTTCTTTCATAGAAGAAAAAAGGGCCAACAACCAAATTGTTAAAAAATAAGGGGAATATTGGAAGTAGATTGGGGGCCTTTTTAACCCCAAACCAAAACAGTAAAAAACGCATTTACATAAATACACTTACAAATTGGTCGCATTCGGGGGTGATCGTTATGCGGGGGTCCACTGAGTTTTTTGGATTATGTTTTGGTAGAAAAGACGTTTAGACTTCGGGATGTCATTTTATAGGGGGGCCCCACAGATATATCAATCACTTTCTAGTTGTAGTACACTGAATAAAAGGTAGAGGGGAAACAAGGAGAAAAAAGCATCGGGGAAGGGGAGAGAGGTAAGGGTTTAAAGCTAAAAGAGGGGGAGTTGGTAAGATATAAACAGCATTGGAGGACGGGAGGGGCTAATAAGCATGGGCAAGGGGGGTCGAAGAGGTAGGGGCAGGTTTAAAAATTGTGTTAGAGTGTTCAGCAAATTTTTGGGGTTTAGGGGGAAAGTGGGTGCGGGGGGGAAGGGGACGATTGGTGGAATGGAGTGAAGAGAGTAGAAGGGAGAAAAAGTTAGCAATGGAAGTTTTTCAAAGTAAAAATATGCAAGGAGGGAAGAGTAATGGAGAAAAAAAAGAGGGGTTTGAGAGGGTAAGCAATGTAAAAAAGAGCAAATGAGAGGGGTGGAAAGTTATCAACAAATTTTTTTTGAAAATAAGAAAAAGTTTTTGGGTGAATTAAAAAGTTAAGAAAGCCCAGAGAACAAATGGGTTTGTCATTAAAAAAAAAGGAGAGGAGATTATTAAATGGAGATTAGGGTATGGGGGAAAATGGGGGAATAGGGAATTGTTAAATGTTTTGAAGATAGGAAGCTGGGTTTTTGTGTATAGGGGAAGGGGGAACAACATTTGTAGGGTGAGGGAAGAGCCATTTGATGTGGGGGAAGTTCTGAGGCAGTAGGTAAAATTTAAAGGGGGTAAGGCACCGGGATTGATGGGGAAAAAATAGAAATGTTTAAAAACAGGTGGGGATATAGTTTTTTGGGGTGGGTTTGGGGCAATTATTTAATAAATGTATGGGAAAAGGGGAAGGTACCCGGGATTGGCAGAGAGCAGCAAGTCCCTTTTTTAAAGGCAAAGGGGATAAAAGAAGTGCAAAAAAATTTAGGGGATAAGTCTGTTTATATACTTTGGGAAAGTGATGGTAAGTTATTATTGAAAGAATTTAAAAGTAAAACAGAAAAGGAAGCGATGAACAAGGAGTTTAGGAAAGGTGGGGGGGTGTGGACCAGTGTTTACAGTGAAACATATAATCAAAAAAGTATTTAGATAAGGGGTAAAAAGGTCTTTGGGCATTTATGGATTTGGAAAAAGGGAATGACAGGGTGGAAAAGGGGGCAAAGTGGCAATGTTGCAAGTGTAGGTGTAGGAGGTAGGTTACTGAAAGCAGTGAAGAGTTTTTTACGAGGATAGTGAGGCTCAAGTTAGGATATTAGGAAAGAGGGAAATTATTTCCAGTAAAAGTGGGCCCTTAGACAAGGATGTGTGATGTCACCGTGGTTTTGTTTAATATATTTATAGATGGGGTTGTAAGAGAAGTAAATGCAAGGTTTTGGCAAGAGGCGTGGATTTAAAAAAGATAAAGAATCACACATAAAGTGGGAGTTGTCACATTTTCTCTTTGCTGATGACACTGTGCTCTTGGGAGATTTCTGAAGAGAAGTTGCAGAGATTGGTGGATGAATTGGTAGGGTGTGCAAAAGAAGAAAATTGAAAGTGAATACAGGAAAGAGTAAGGTTATGAGGATAACAAAAAGATTAGGTGATGAAAGATTGAATATCAGATTGGAGGGAGAGAGTATGGAGGAGGTGAACGAAATTCAGATATTTGGGAGTGGACGTGTCAGCGGAGGGGGTCTATAAAAGATGAGGTGAATCATAGAATTGATGAGGGAAAAAGAGTGAGTGGTGCACTTAGGAGTCTGTGGAGACAAAACTTTGTCCTTGGAGGCAAAGAGGGAATGTATGAGAGTATAGTTTTACCAACGCTCTTATATGGGTGTGAAGCGTGGGTGATGAATGTTGCAGCGAGGAGAAGGCTGGAGGCAGTGGAGATTCATGTCTGAGGGCAATGTGTGGTGTGAATATAATGCAGAGAATTCGTAGTTTGGAAGTTAGGAGGAGGTGGGGGATTACCAAAACTGTTGTCCAGAGGGCTGAGGAAGGGTTGTTGAGGTGGTTCGGACATGTAGAGAGAATGGAGCGAAACAGAATGACTTTCAAGAGTGAAACAGTCTGTAGTGGAAGGAAGGCGGGGGAGGGGTCGGCCAGGAAGGGTTGGAGGAGGGGTAAAGGAGGTTTTGTTGCGAGGGGCTTGGACTTCCAGCAGGCATGCGTGAGCGTGTTTGATAGGAGTGAATGGAGACAAATGGTTTTTAATACTTGAAGTGCTGTTGGAGTGTGAGCAAAGTAACATTTTTTGAAGGGATTCAGGGAAACCGGCAGGGCCGGACTTGAGTCCTGGAGATGGGAAGTACAGTGCCTGCACTCTGAAGGAGGGGTGTTAAGTTGCAGTTTAAAAACTGTAGTGTAAAAGCACCCTTCTGGCAAGACAGTGATGGAGTGAATGATGGTAAAGTTTTTCTTTTTTGGGCCACCCTGCCTTGGGGGAATCCCCCGGTGTGATAATAAAAAAAAAAAGAATAAAAAATATTGAGGATATCCACCTAAAAAAATTGAAAAAATAATTCAAGTTTAGAAAGGATTTTGGAAAAAGCACAGGTTAGGCAATCAAGTTGTTGATGAGTGGAACAATGCCAAACAGTCTTTGAAACTAAATCTTGGGTACTTAAAAATAGGTTTGACCCAAATAATTGAGAATGGTAAGACAAATGTTTGGGTGAGAAGGGTTAGATATAAAGGGCCTGCAACGTATGGGCCAGTAGCCCTGCTGCAAGTGTTCTCCATTATTTTTTTTTTTTTAACAATCGGCCGTCTCCCCACTGAGGCAGGGTGATCCAAAAAGAAAGAAAATCCTCAAAAAGAAATACTTTCATATCATTCCAAACCTTTCACCTCACTCACACAATCACTGTTTTTTGCAGAGGTGTCGGGTTTACAACTGTTTAAAAGCATTTACGTAAAAAGATACAAAACATTTTTCCCCCAAACTCCCAAATACCCAAAAACCCTCCTTTAAAGTGAAAGGCATTGAAACTTTCCTTTTCCAGGACTAAAGGGTCCGGGTTATAAAAAAAAAAACCCGGTTTTCCCCCTGAATCCCTTAAACAAAATTTATTACCCTGCCCAGTCCAACAGCTCGCGGGTTTTCCCAAATACAGTACCATTCTTTCTCCTTTTCACCCCTTTAATCTAAATCTCACAAAACCGCTTGCTGGAAAGTCCAACCCCCTTCCCCACAAAACCTCCTTTACCCCCCCCCCCAAAACCTTTTCGGGGAAACCCCCCCTCCCCCTTCCCTTCCTTCCCCACAATTTTTTCGCTCTCCTGTCTTTCTACTTTAATCCCTTCTCTCAAAATTGCCCAAACCCCAAATCAAAAAACCCCTCTGCTTGCCCCTCTGACAATACTTTTTTTTAAACTCCACC